GGGATACCGCGGTTACTAGGCAGCAGTAAACAACTCCGGACAGCGTTGCTAGCAACACGGCGCCAGGCAACAAGAGTGCCTATTACGTGGCCGTATTCTGTGTTGTCCGGAACGAGGCTACATAAGGAGCAGCGAAGGCTATTCACAGTTAGTTCTCAAGGCAGCTACCTACGAGTTAGTTCCGAATCAGTTCACTAGTTACGAGTTACCAGCATTTGCAGTGTAGTATTTGTGATACTGCAGATAGCAGTAATTGTCAGATTGTAATTTGGGTGATTGTAAGTGTGAATGTGAAATAAAATTCGCTACATCAAATACAGCGTGAATTTATTTGTCGCGTTATACACCCAACACGTGACAATGCTTTTTTGTGCAGTGCACTTTGGTAGATTTGAAAGCTCCAGTGAACATGTGATGTGAAGATGTATTTCAACAAACTACGGCTGCTACAGGCCTTAAAGCACCATTCTTCACTGTTTTTGGACTCATAGCTGCTTTACTTAAGGATGAACAGTGTTGAGAGCCTTCTATAAAATTTGTCAAGGGGAAAGTAATACAGATTACCACACATTGTGCATGCCAGTTCTGTAGCTAATTTAATATACCTACATAGACAAGTCACTTTTAATAATGTAAGTTTGTCTGTATAATATAAGTTTAAAATAAAAACTATTACAGATGATTTTCAAAATTGGACCCCAGTTACTGAAGTTCTTACAAGCTGCATCATGCCACAAAATTACATTTCTTTTTAATTTTGAACACCTGTTAGAAGTAGTACAGGATGCAGAGGACTAAAATTTGTCATTTTCACTTACATCTGTAGGACCAAGTCAGTTGACTGAAGTGATAAAACTTTTGAGTTGAACTGCCCAGTTCAAATTTCAGCCAGGCCAGTGACTCTTCTTACTAATGGTTTGTGTGGTTTTCCTCAATACCTCCAGACATCTGCTTGGATAATGCTTCAGGTCAAAGCATGATCACTTCCTGCCACATTCTTTCAGATTCATTGTTCAATAATCATTCTGCCTGTGGATGTTGTGTAGTCTTGAGTCAATTAAAGCATCACTAAATAAAATACATCAGTAAGATATATAGGATCAACAGGTTTGATAAAAATCTGACAGGGTCAATTGTGAGCTGTGTTGATAGGATGTGAAATTTCCCTTTCTCAAGAGTGCTGTTTTCCATAAAAAAATGACAGTGTTTGTTATGTATTTTAATAAACAAATAGAATTTAAGTGAGAATGTCTTACTATAATAAGCCTGCACTATGTGTTGTTCAAGCTGTATGGGTCGGTGTTTCAGGCTTCAGCTCTGACAGATCTCAGTTTTTATGCAGATTCTCCAACTTTCTTATGCAGTCAATGTAGATATTTGGGATGTCATGTATGAAGTCAGCACCATCCATCATCATACATCAAATAGGATGTTTGAGTCACTAATGAGAGCAATGCTTGCTGAATATGATATGAGTAGAACAAAATGTAGAAACAAAATGTCATGCCTCTTAATCAAAGTTAATCCCTTAAATGTAGTGTCTGCCTGATTGAGCACAGTGAGTCCAGAAGTCTTGCCATCTATTGAAGTACATCTTATATTATTGTTGCTGGATGTTAGTTCCTGTGTTGCACTTTTGATGATTTCCAGAACATTCTTAAGCCCCTCCTGTTTTGCTCATTTTCAGTTCAGGGGAACAGATAAAATCCACTAAGTGCTAAATAATGTTGATGTAGAAACAGCTGAAAGTTATATTTGATTAAGATACCCCCTAAATGTTCAGGCCATTATGCTGCAGAACACTGTATATGAGCAGGATATCTGTGAAATTCATTTTTGACATTCCAGGAAAGATTTTTCTTATATCTTTCTCTCTAAGAGATGGTAGCAAGTGTGTTTATAGCTGATTATAACTGTTGCCCAGCAGAATGAGAGGAAACCCAACCTCTGCTATTCCCCTTTTGTCACTGACTACTGTAATTTAACATAAATAAAGCTCCAGCTGAAGCAGATTTTCTTCCCAATTGTGAAAGATATAATTTTAGTTTCTTATAGAAGCTTGTAAGTTTTGGGGGTAATGTAAAATATGACATTTACGAGTATTGTCACCAGTATCAGTCCTGTAAGACCCAGTAGATTGTATTTTGATGGAGACTATAAAATTGATAGGAAATGAAATTCAGTGTTTTCCTGGTCACGGAATGAAAAGCATTTGACATAATGGTAAGGCAAGTAATACACAATCAGTAGCAGAAGATTCCTCAGCATCAAGTATATCATTCTCAGAACCAATGGCACATTGTAACATCACTTCAAATGTAGCAGGGCCCAGTTCATACATTCAAGAATGCACAGAAGTCAGGAGGTTCAGTATGTTCAGTCTGTAACTGGGGAATGCAATAATAATGATGAGTGTTCCCAGAAATATTTAAGCTGGCAGACACAAAATGTTAATCAGTTTTACTAACACATTTGGTTTCTATAGCATGCAAACACAGAGCACTTCATTTCAGATCTTTAACTCACATAAGATTTACCTATTAACTGATTTTAGAATGTATGTCTTGTGAAGCAAAATATACATCAGGATACACATTCAGTTATTCAGTATGGAGGGGGTGGGTTTCCCCATGCACCGCGACTAATAGTCTATTGTACGTCCCCCTTTAATTTCTACTGGTGCCCGCTATCTCCCCTTTCTGCCAGCGAGGTTGGCCCTCTACTGGCAGTGGTACCCAATAATTCTCCACTTTCTGCCAGCGAGGTGGGCCGTCTACTGGCATTGGTACCCGATAACTTCCCCATCTACCGGAGGCATTGGAAACTACTTGGGTGGGAAACATTTTGTCTAATTTTGCTCAGAGGTCTCCTAGAGAATGAGGATCTTTTACGTGCCGTAAATCTACGACACGGGACCCACGGTTTTAAGTCCCTCCCGGAGGACTTGTTCCCTGAATTTTTCCGCCCTTAAAAATTCCATGACCTCCGCCGGGTTTGAACCCGCGTACCTTGAGTCATGAGGTGGGAATGTTATCCCTAGACTACAGAGGCCACTAGGATACACATTACAAAATGTTAACAAAATAGGAGTAAAGTTCGTTCTCTACTTAGACACCCATTGATATAGATTGGACTATTCATGCTTGGTGTAGGACATTCAGACCTGAATGACTTCTGCAATGTAATGAATATAATCTGTTGGGGCTGCAGTATATCTGTTGCTATTTGCAAATCTCATAGCACATCCATTGGCAGGACTGAAGTTGAGCCAGCACAGTATAAGGGGTTGCATAGTACTCTTTTTGAGTGCTGAAGCATCATTTAGGAAATTAAAGATAGTGGTGTTAAGTATCAATGGAATAATCTAAGGGCAAGTGGTGGGGTATGAGCACCACACTTTATATTGTCGCGTGTTTCCTAGGCAATGTGACAAGAAATTGTGTGAGTCTCAGATTTGGATGAATAGTTATTGGACGATCACTCTTTACACTCACAGATACAATTATTCACACATATATAATGTCCTCGGACGTTTCCTCTTCCATGTTATACACTCTCACACCGCTAATCTCAGTGAAGTGTCTTTTTCTCTGCTCAGAGCTTGACTGTCCTTAGCTCTCATTGGATATAAACTAACTGGTCTCTTGTCAGATACAAACTTGCTTCTACTGTAGATGGATATGAACTCTACTGGTCTCTTGTTGGAGCTGGACTGTTATATCCTGCACTCTGGCTGACTATGGAACACCTTGTCGAAGGGTTTCATTACACCCACTGCTATGCAATAAATCTTGTTGCTGTGGGAATACATGTCTGCCTCAAACAGTTCGTTTGCAATGGTGGAAACCCCACTGTTAGACTTTCATCTCTGGGGCAACAATTTCTTAGGCATTGCTGCCTAGGAATTGCTAGCCATTGACCAGTGATGGACGTCTCATTGTTCGGCTTTTAAGCAGCATGCCACAATATTTTAAAATACTGAGTATGGTAAAAACTATATAACAGAAATGTAAGTGGTGCAAATGTCCTCTAGCTGTGGAAGGTAGCTGCAACTTGAATAAGCAGTAACGGACAGTTGACATTGGTTGACCCTCCAGTTTGGGGATTGGGCATGAGTAAAAACTCATCATGACCCCTCCCCCACCTTCTTTGTCTATCTTGTTAGTTCTCAGTAAACACCCATACAGCCGTGGATCAGAGGAAATGAAATACTCAATTAATTGAGGGAGGGTACAAACTAAACAACACACAAAAATAATATTAATGTAATACAAATGTATATATTAATTAATGAAATGGAATGCCAAACCATTAACTCACCACAAGAAAAAATACAAACAATGGGGGGGGGGGCAGGCGGAACACTCCTGGGTCAGTGAAAAAACACAACCCTGTAACAGACTATGTGGTCTCCCCACATAAGGTAGGAAAGAAAAATACCAAAACAATAAACAGCTTACCTTGGTCGACCACATAGGGATCAGACTGTTCTGATAAGTAGGTAGTCAGCCAAAATAATTTTGGAGAGGGAGAAACTAAACCAAATTTGAGGTTGACCTCCCAGAACCAGATCCTAGACAGCAGTGAGTTTCCAAGGACAAGCCCAGAGCAGTATGCAAAAGGAGTGGAGTGTAGGGGTGAGAGATGTAAAAGGCGAGACATGTGCACTGGGATTGCAGTATGAACCATAGACACCAGAAAGGGAAGTTCTCATATGCAGCTACTCTTTAGATGAATACTTCAATGTAAATAGAGAATGATGTAAAATTAAGTTATATTAATTTTTAAGCTAAAATTGCCTGTACTTATGTATGTAAGCTTTTGACTTGTTCTGTATCCAAAGGTACTAACCTGCTTAGGATTTATAGAATGTAAATAAATTCAATTCAATTCAATTCAAGGAACCAATAGCACAGGCATAACGGGCATGAGTAACAACTCCTCATCACAAAAACCAGCATGTTGTAGAATGTTACACAGGGCCTCAGTGGGCGCTCTTGTGAACAGTAATTAGTATTCAGGTTCCATTAAATGTGGGGAATTTCTTGATTAGACGGATGACTTATAATTTTAATGACTACTCCGTGATATTAGTATAAATGTCATTCAGCATATGAATTTGCCCTAGTATTACAATCCCCTGCTTCTATAATTTATGAACAAAATTAAATAAAAGTGAATACAGGATAAAATACGATCTAATCGATTGTGTTCAACCGTTATGGTACTTGAAACTTTATGTGTGATCCATGATACAACTGAGCATTACTTCGGGAAGTTGACGTGTATTGTCCATGCTTCAGAGGCTCCAGAGCTTCCAGATCAGAGGCTGGAAAATGGTCCTTGTAAGTTGCTTATTTGTACACACTGTAACAAATTTACGTAGTGTCATAATGTGTCTGATTTATTTATTTTTGCAGCGATACTGAAATGAACATAGTATTATGTATAACAATCTTCATGTTCAAACATTCGAAATTTTTTGTTAATATTACTGTAATTTCTCGGTGATGGTACAGGAAGAGAAATTTTGCTACCGTCGAAGGAAAATTTGGAACATTGTGTTGGTATACGTGGGGTAACGAAGAATCGAAATTCGAAGGTGCCGCGAGGGAAAAGAAATTAGTATACAGTAAGTTTTTCTGCGAATTATTACTTTCACATTGCGTATATCAATTTTTACACTTAACTGAGGAACCATTCAGGCTCCTCGGATGTAGAATTTGCATATACTTTCTCTTGAGGAATGTCTCGCCGACTTGTGGCCTAACATCTGCCATTGCATACATCATCGGTATAGAATCAGATATATCGAGTCGTCTGTATTCAAGCCAGAGTTTTGTTGCAAGGTTTGTGAAATTATTAGATACCTAGGCGGATATAAATTAATTGCATTTTCAAGTAGAGAAGATGTGGAACGAGTCATAATAAACGTAAGCTTTGAGGTCTTTGCAGTGGTGGTTATGAAAAGTCTTCTGGGATATAACGGAGTGTAGTCAACTGACGTTAAGGAAGAACGTGTTGCCACCATCTTCAGGTTTAAAGAGTAAGCCAGGCAATAATCCAACATGAAGAAGAAAGCACGCAAAGAACAATCATGGAAACATTCCCTAGCACAAAATACACTGCAATAGACATAATCATTGCATTATTAATAATTCCATATAAGTTATAAAGCTTATCTAGGAAGAGCAAAGTTTGCAGCACCCAAAATGTGCTTGTTATGAAATGAATGTATTGAGTAAATAAATAACAGTAAATCCTAGTCCGATGCGAATTTGCTTCTGACAGAAAATTCAAGTATATGCCACTTGATCCAAATGTGACCTTGAAACTTAAATTCAGTCATCCTAATGCTGAGATGATGGTTATGCCTCTGAACACTGCATTTGCCCTGCAACCTATATGCTAAGGTGTTATGAAAATTTTAAGTCATACTCTGTGTTCAGAATGTCTACAGATGTGCACTCCTAGTCAAACTCAGGTGTTTTTTTATCACTTTAAAGCAGTATAGGTAGGGTCATTCATTTGTGTATTAAAAAGTCTAGGTATTAATGGGATACTTGGCTGTGTCATAGCTCAAGTGGTTACTCGCTGGCTCCCCACCGCAGCAGCCCTGGTTCGATCCCGGGTCTGGTCAAGTGGGATTTGTGGTGGAAAAAGTGGTGATGGGGCAGGTTTTCTCCAAGTACTTCGGTTTCCCCTGCCAATCTTCATTCCACCAAATTCTCAATCATCATAATCACCCGGGGCAGGCTACAATAGGCCAGTCAGTGGCCGCGCCAAGTGGACCCAGTTGGACTCCACCCCCCACTAATGGGATGCTTTATATGGCCATTTTCATATCTCCCTATTTGAACCTTTAGATATTAAGTTTGTGCAACATGGACTTACCTAATGTGTCATTCTCAAGGAACCTAAGTCTATGTTGAATGAGGGGTTTCTATATGTGTATAAATTTCATGTACTTAAATCAGTAACCGTAATGTGTGCATGTGTGTGCACACACACACATAGGGTGATACAAAGTCTTGTGGCTAAACCTTGAGAGGTTTTCAAGGAGGTAATATGGAGCAGAAAATGTAAACAAATGGGTATCTGACACATCACCACTTCAGAGTTACAGCACTACACATAGAAACGCTGTTAGGCACTAGGAAAGAGGCATAGCAATTAGTTAAGAGACTACCAAGTCTATGTTCATATCTTGTCACTAGAATTTGAGGCAAGAGTATTAAGAGCCAATAAATCCTTCAAAAATATCCATTCATTCTTCAGTAATCTGTCAGATGACAGGTCCACAGTCTCTTACAAAACAGTTCCTCCACTTAATGCAATCTTCCGCTTGTGGAAAGAGTCTATCCAGGAAAAGTGATAATGTGGTAGTTTTCCATTTGCTTTCCACATCGCACTACAACAGCCGTTCAAACCACTCTGGTCACCCCCTCGTTGGTGTCTTCACCTTATCTTGGTGAGGGGCTTTGAGTATGCCAAGGACCCTGAGAGCTATACTAGCAGTAGTGTAGCTACTGGCAGGTAGGCATCAAAAATATAGCAGCATTAAAATATTTCGGAACAACCGTAATTAACGAAAATTACATTTGTGAAGAAGATAAGAGCAGATTGAATTTGGGAATACTTACTACAGTTTCGTTCAGAATTTACTGTCAAAAACTCTAGAGGTAAGAGGGCTTTAACTTCATCTGTTGTTTTGTACAAGTTTGTCAACTTAAGAGAAGACTATATATTGAAGGTGTTATTATTATTATTATTATTATTATTATTATTATTATTATTATTATTGGAGGGGGTGGGTTTCCCCATGCACCGCGACTAATAGTCTATTGTATGTCCCCCTTTGATATTCTACCAGTCGCCATACCCTACCGGTACTGGTGCGTACTATAAGCCCCGTTCAGCTAACGAGGTCGGCCCTCGGTACCCAATACTTCCCCCATCTACCAGAGGCATTGGAAACTACTTGGGCGGGAAACTTTTTGCCTAATTTTGCTCAGAGGTCTCCTAGAGACATGAGGAACTTTTATGTGCCGTAAATCTACAACACGGGACCCACAGCTTAAAGTCCCTCCTGGAGGACTTGTTCCATGAATTTTTCCGCCCTTAAAAATTCCACGACCTCCGCCAGGTTTGAACCCGCATATCTTGAGTCATGAGGTGGGAATGTTACCCCTAGACTAAGGAAGGTGTTAAAGAAGAGAATGCTTAGTACCCAAGAGAGAGAAGGTGACTGGAGGATGGAGAATGTTATATAATGAGGAACTTAATAAAATATACTCCTCACCAAATGGTATTAGGGTGACCAAAGTAAGGGGAATAAAATGTGTATTGCATGTAGCATGCATGGGGGAGTTTAGAAAGGCAAACAAAATTTAATGGAACAGACTGACTGGGAGAACCGAGGCATAGATTGAAATATAATGTTGTGACATGATGCCTGAAAGCCAGAATAGTTTGACAAGAAGAGATGACTGTTGCTAGAAACGGTATAGTAAACACATTTCTGCAGCAATGAATTAACATGGATGATAAAGGAACTGTTGGAAGCAGTGTTTTCTATGCAGCCCATGTTGAGGCTATATTGCAAGGCCCAACAAGGAAAGTTAGTCAGTTGCAAGTTGGAGTTGGCAGTTAGTGAGCCTTTGAGTTACGTTGTTAGCAGCTGCTACCTATCAATGACTAGTGAAGAAACAGAAGACTTTATGGGAGCTGCAGTTGTAGTGATCTGTACAGTGTTTAAGACAGTGAGACTGCTGTAGTTATAAGCATTCATTAAATCCAGTTCCCAATTCAAAACCCATATCTAGTCATTAACACATGGCAGTATTAAAATACCAGTTTTCATAATCCTTGCAGCAGTGATGCACCTGTTGAAGTCAGAAGGTTGGAAATGATGTAAATATATATTACATAGTTTTAGTGGATTCAGTGGCTCAGGATAGGGGCTTATGAGTATGGTAATTAACTCTTTGGGTTCCATAACAGGCCTGGAATTTATTGAACACCTGTGCGACCATTGTCTTTTCAAGAAGGACTTTGCTTCTTTGATTTAGCTGAGGTGAACACTGAATCTATTTAATTAATGGGAGATGGTTATTAAATTGATCAACCAGCGCCATGTACTGTCTGTTAGCTTGATACAGTAGACCAGTGTTTTATGCCGGGGTTAGGATCCTGAAGATGCTGGTGTATATCGAATCAGCATAAATAATAAGACCAATTATAATGTATTTAAATGGGATACATTCCAGATGTACAAAAATTGAGACTGTCTTTCATAAAATAATACAAAAGATTTATATATTTCAGACATAAATATCAGAAACATTGATTAGATCACATTTATTCTATAAAAAAATATAGTTGATGAGATCAATGCCCTGGATGTGGATCGTCAGGGTCGACTGGATTAGCTCTTTCCGTCTTTGGATCAATTGGAAGCTCTCCAGATTTCTTTTTAAAGTAAGGAAAGGACATTGTTTGCCTTGCTTGATGCCTCCTCTCCTGTAGAACATGGTAGTAAGACTGCAGCACTGCATTGACTCCTTTTATAATAGAACAGCTCCGTTCCCCTTCAGGATCAATGCTGCCTAACTTCTGCAGGTACTTCTTAATCCCAGCCAGAATTGTCAGCAGGTCATGGGTTTCTCTAGACTGTAAAACGGTTTCTTGCTGTTGCTGCTTCTGAGTCATCATTCAGGTACTGAGATCAGCATATGCCAAACCATTGTAAACCAATGGCCCACTATATATTGATTGAAGATCATAACTAATTTGAGTTACATTTATAAATTCAAGTAAATTTACAGTAGTTATGTGTTTTTTTTTTTCAGAGTCAATGATTACAGATGTATGTCATGGAGAAGTACCAGCACATGAAAGCCTTTATAGGAAATGCTTCAGAATACTCCAAACATCGCACTGAAAAGACATCCAGTTCTCTCCAACGACATTTGCAGGTTAAGAACTTATGGTTTATATTCAGGAAATTTTAAGTTTTACTCTTCAACAATAAGATGGTTTAATGTTCTGCAAGTATTATCTTATTTAGTTTTGTATATGTCGACATCTCAAACATAATTTCATATTTACTGCAACATAAGAATGTTTTCTTTTGTACTACTTCAAAAGGATTTTGAATTCATGTGCACCCGTTTCACATTTATTTTTCCGATATCAAACATGATATTAAAAGTGAGGGTTGTATCGTCTTTAGATTTTGAGATCTAATTTTTGATCCTTTTTCTGTCTGATGCCATGGGTTTAATTTAAATTCACTCTTGTTTTCTTGAATATAATTTCCTGTGTGCTTTATGATCTCAATTTAGGTCACTTTCACAGAGATAGTCTACATGGCTATTCCCAGCATTGGAACTGAAAATTTAAGGAAAGATCAAAATTAAAGTGAAATAGAATAGAACAGAAGGTGTGGGTGTCAGGTATTCCTCATATGTGAGCTCAAAGTGTGATTTCATTTCAGTGCAGTCAGTTGATTTAGATTAATTTCAGTTAATGTGGCTCACTTTAAAGTGAATTGCTTGTTGACTGATTGAGAGAGAAGGGGAGAAGCGGGAGTAGACTATTGTGTTTGTGGTGACAGGGGATGCAAGAGGGTGAAGGGAAAAATCTGTCTTCACAATGCAACCCAACGTGCTCATTTTCTGTTGTACAAGAAGTCAGAGACTGGGAAGCAACCAAAGATGAATGATTTTTTTAAAGGAGTCATATCCAGCAGATTAACTCTACTGAATTTTCACCATCAGCTTTAATGGCCATAAATACAAAACTTAATATTGCTGAGTTAGTCATCAGTTCAGTTCCTTTGTCTGCCACCAAAGTCTCATCTGCTACATCATCATCTTCAACCATTTCTCCATACAACTTAGTGACTCATTCATCAGATCACCAACTCATCCATTTAGCAAGCTATTTAGCTTGGTATTGGTGAGCATTAATTTTCATTATTTCCTTATTATTAATATAAACTGTTTCTGTTATATGAAAACTGTTTAATAATGCTTTAAATACAGCTTGTTAATATGTTCCCTAGTATTTGAGAGAAAGAGAACATGGATGTGTCTCAGGACAACTGGGTGAATGATTTCGATGTTAGTGTTGCAGGTTTTCAGCAGCACAAGTTTCGGGGATATTATGCTATCATCCCATTTCTTAGCAGTGTCTTGCAGTCTTTCTTTTTTTTTTTTTTTTTTTAAAGTAAATAGTTATAAACAAGATTTTTTCATACTGAAATGATACAACTCACTCATGGAGCTGAGCTCTTCTTGATGAGCTGCCAATTGTGCAGCTACTTAAGAACTTCAGCATTTTATGGGATCCACAGGTTCATTGTTGTGTTCACAAGAGCCCTCCATTGGTCCCTATCCTGATTAAGATCAATCCAATCCATACCATTCCATCCTATCTCTGAGATCCATTTTAATGTTATCCACCCACCTACATCTTGGTTTTCCTAGTGGTCACCTTCTTTAAGGCTTTCCCACGAATATCCTACATGCATTCCTCTTCCCCCATTCATGCTACATGCCCTGCCCATTGCATCATTCTTGACTTGATCATTCTAACTATACTTGGAGCAGAATACAAGTTATGAAGCTCCTCATGATACCATTTTCTACTACCTCCTGTTACTTCACCCCACTTCAGTCCAAATATTCTCCTCAGCACCTTGTTCTCAAACACCCTCAGTCTATGTTCCTCCCTTAATGTCAGACACCAAGTTTCACACCCATACAGAACCACAGGAAGAATTATAGTTTTGTATATACAAGGTAAAGCTATTCCCATAACAGGCCATGAAGGCACATAGGATTCTGAGACATCGAGGCTCCCACATTTTCTGTAGACAGTTGGCTCACAGATGGCAGTAAGCTTGTCAGCCTTTTGCGTACACACTTTTCATCATTTTGTACGCTTCTCTGGCTGTTTGCCTAACTTCAAACAAAATTCGATGTTGCCTCTCTGTTCAACCGCCATTTTCCGACTAGCATCAGAACAGTACTGTTACATTCAAGGTCAGAACACATGATGCAACAAGTCTTGCGCATTGGAATTATAGACAGCCACAGCTGAAACTTCAAGAATCTTAACGCCACAACTCGCCAACATATGGCATTGCAGGGCAAAATTTAAAAAAAATGAGTCCTAACGGATCTTGGACACACCGTTTACACTTAGTTTTTTCTGTGCTTACTTGTAGACTAACCTCTTTACTAGCATCAATTAAAGTTTGTGTGTTTTTATTTATAGTATCTATATTATCACCCAGTAGTTTCACATCATCAGCATAGACCAACAGCTGATGTGTCCCGTTTAGTTTCGGTCTCATCTGGTTTTCCTGGACCTTCCTAACGGCATATTCTAAAGCAAAGTTGGAAAGCAGTTGCAATAAAGCATCTCCTTGTTTTAGACCATTTTGAATAGGCAAACTATCAGACAAATGTTTACTTATATGGACTTCACTATATGTTTTGTTTAAACACATTTTAATCAGTCTAACTAGTTTAATGGGTACCCCAAGCTCTATGACAGTACTGTACAATACCGCCTTCCTAACTGAGTCATAGGCTTTCTTAACATCTGTGAATAGCTGATGTACTGCCTCATTGTTATCCCATTTTTACTCCAGTATCTGATGTACTCAAAAGATATGATCAGTAGTGATCTGTTATGTTGAAACCCACGCTGATGATCCCCAATAATTATATATATATATATATGGACTTAACCTAGAGAAAGAATATTGGCTAAAATTTTATATGAAGTTGATAACAGTGATATCCAATGATAATTAGTACAGTCAGTTTTATCACCCTTCTTGTGAACTGGTACAATAATATACTCCTTCCACTGGTCGGGCAATTTTTCCTTATTCCAAAGAGAATTAATTAGCATGTGGATCTTATAACATACTATTTCACCTCCTGTTTGAATTAGTTCTTCTGGCATTTGATCACTACCTGGCGATTTATACCTTTTCAGCTTTGCAGGAACAATTTCAACCTCAGAATGTCTAGGATTGGGTACTAATGCTCAGCTGTATGTCTTTCTATCTGCCTAACATCAATGACCCTATGTACATTCAGTAACTGAGAGTAGCAGTTCTTCCACCTATTCAAAATATGGGAATCTGCAAGCAGATCACCAATCTCATCCTTTATTAAGTTACTTCTAGGTTGGTGACTCCTCTTGAATTAATTTATTCCCCTGTACAGGTCTCTGATCTTGATTTCACTGTTCATTGCAGGCTCATCAATTTTGTCTTTCAGATATTCCCTCTTCATTCTTGAAATTCCTGCTGGTTTCACATATTATATTCAGATTATCCCCATTGATTTCACGTGGATCCTGTAACCACTACAATTTATCCACCTCAGTGTCTTTAAGTTTTCCACAGCTGTGAACCTATATGAGATTTCAACATGATGCTGCTCTTTACCCTCTACCTTTTTTAATTTCTTGAGATTGAACCTCTCCTTATGAAATGTGTGCATTGTTTGTTTACTCACTGCCAGTCTCTCCCTAAGTTTTCCACCACCAGATAGTGGTCAGTATCATAGTCTGCTACCCGGAATGATTGGACATCAGGTATACTTGAATGCCATCTCCTGTCTATCAAAATATGGTCAATTTGGTTGAGTATCTTTCCATCAGAATATGTCCAAGTAAATTTATGAATTTTACGATGTGGGAACCTTGTACTTTAGAAATAAGATTTCTGGATGTGTCAAAAGTTTACTACTCCAACTTGGTTATCATTAGTAATTTTGTGTAAACTCTCATTCCAAATTGTTGGTTTGAAAATGTCTTCCCTGTGTACTTTGGCATTGAAATCTAACATTTTCATATGGTATTTAGGGAATTTATCAAATACATGTTCTAGGTCATTGTAGAGCCTGTCCTTCATATCATCAGTTTTGTCCTGTGTTGGGGCATAAACATTCAGAACTATGATATCACAACCTCTTAGCCATACAAGTATATGACATCCTATCACTAACAAACTCTGCCCTTTTAACTGCTGATATGATTCTCTTATGTATGAGAAATCCTGCACCTAATTCTTGATTCTCTTCCTCCTTCCATAGGAAAATGTATATTCTGCTGGTTTGGTACCACCTCCATCCCATCTGACCTCTTGTACTCCCATTAAATCTAACTCATATTTTGAGATTTTTTCTGCCACTGCCTTGAGCAAACTTGCCCTATACATACTTCTAACATTCAAAGTACCAAATCTCATATCCATTTTGTTTCGCTAGGTCATTTATCTGAAGAATCCCTCCAGATCAAATGGTTCTTCTTATCCTTCATAAGAAGCAAATTTTTTACTATGAGGTGGTAGCCCCATGCCCAAGCCTCAAACTAGAGACCACCCATTGTCAGCTGCCCGCAACTGTTTATGCAATATATTCGCAGGTACCCTCCATATCTGGAGGCCATCTCCTCCATCTGCAACCTGAGGACGTACCATGCCTTTGTGACAAGGGACCCGCCTAACATGGGAAGTGATACAAACATTCAAATAAGAAAAAGGGATAACAGTCTACACAACACATTTAGTTTTAAGTAATTGCAAGAATATTCTGATAACTTTTTGTAACAGGTCTCAGACATTTATATTGACTCTTACAGGGAAGTTATGTGCAATTTATGCAAGTTCACCCTCTACAAAATTTTTGGAACCCAACTGTTTCATAAATTGAGGAGTATCTGTATCAATGGCTGTTTTTTAAGATGTTACTTAGATTATGCCATGTAATTATTAGTTACTTTCAGTGCCATTCTCTTACTTGCTACACGTTCATCTTATTCACATGCATAAGCCACATGCAGTGCACAATGTGCAGTACTTACTGACTCTTACTGTTACTTTATGTAATACTGACACAGCTGTGCAACATATGGCAGACACTGTTCTCTTGACATGTTCATATTTCTTCCTTCCTATTTTCTAATGATGGCAACTGTGTAATTTTAAAACATGATGCTTGAATAAGATCTAAAATTTTGTGACAGTGGTATATTAATACAAATATTTACTTTTTCAGCATTATCTATTTTCCTGTTTATTTATTTGAAAACAACATTTCAGAGATTGGACTCTGGACTCTGTCTTCATCCTCATGTAAAAGCCTACTCAGTTGGGCCCAATCAATAGAGATAGTCCTAATCTCTGGATGATGCTTGAATCCAAATGTTTTTATGTTATTTTCATAATCCCTGCAGTCATTAAGAAATGGTTAGGGGACATAATTACATATTGAAGGCTAAAGCAGTGGTTAATGTGATAAGTGTGAGAATGCTGCTTGAAGAATTTATGTATGTTTACACACCAATGACTTTACTTCCCTGGTGACTATTTCCACTACAAAGACAGATGGTCATTCTTTTGGGAAGGGGGAAGGGGAAGGAGAAGTGGAAGGAAGGCTGCAGTATAAGCAATAGAAAGTTTAGTAATTTATATCTGTGATTCCAATGTCCGTAAAACTGTGAATACAAAGTTAGGCAGAGGCTGCATTTAGCACAACTGGCTCCATCTGACAGAGGAGGGGGGCCTGTGACATTGACAGTAATAACCACTGTATCAAATACAGGAGATGCAGTTATGTGTTTCAAAAGGAAATCTTTTTATTTTCTTATAAGCTGAGTGGGATAGTTACTCTGTGGAGGTAATTACACAAGTACATATGGTAATCTAATATTGAATCTAAGTGTTGTAACGGTAATTGAAAGTTTCCTTTCTTTCCTTCAGCATAGGACATATACTATATATAACAAAGAATCTCATTAAACCATATTATATAAAATATGAAAAACTAATAAAATGTTGGAATATTACACTTTTTTGTATGCAGGTGTGTATTCACTTATTTAGTGTCCTAATGATGATCATATACCATACATTGTAAATAGCTGATTCTCACAAAACTTTCATATCACATTTCAAGTTATGTTTTCATTGTAGATTTTGGGAGTGACTTCAGACATGAGTATCTTTGATCCTGGAAGCAGTGTTGCTGCTGAATTTTATGTTAGTCTTCATGAACTTATGTCTGCATTGGAACCAAGGTCAGGGCTTATTTGGTGTGCCATTGGGGTTCTGCAGCATGCTTGTCAGAACCCAGCTGCTCGCCATGCTCTAATTCATACCTACAAATTTGCACCCATCCTCACTAGGCTTCTTGGTGCTGATCTCATTCAAGAGAAAAGGGTTCGTGTTCTACAGCTGTTGCAGGTAAACCATGCTTTATTACATATACTTGTGTGATATCTTTTTGCACCTCATTATTTTATTCAGTAAAATTTTGCAGTTTAGTTACTAGTTACCGTGTTAATTTTCCTTTACACAGTATTTTAATGTAATTTAAACTTACACATTTGCCATTAGATCAGAAAAGTTAATTCAACCGTTTTTAGGTGCTTTTGCAGTCTTGCAGAGTGCATATTAAAATCACTCAGCCAAGCTCACTGTATGAGGGGTGTTCAAGTTCTAAGGTCTCCGATCTTTTTTTCTCAGGACTGTGAGCAGATAGACACATGTGGTTTAGTTTAAAATACGTGTGCACTCTTTGTGAATGCATGATGGAGATGGCAGCACTGTACGGCACACAGAACTCTAGTGGTGGCGGCGAGAGTGAGGAATGTTTTTGATACCTAAAATGATGATTTCGTTACAAGAACAGTAAGTAATCATTCGTTTTCTCCACTTGCGTGGTGTGACACCCATTGAAATTCATCACCAGTTGAGTTAGACATGTGGTGATGGTGTCATGAATGTGAAAAATGTGTGTTCGTGGGTGCGACAGTTCAAAGAAGGCTGAACGTCGTGTGACAACGAACGAAAACAATCTCGGCCTCGCACCAGTCGGTCTGACAACATGGTTGAGCGAGTTGAGAAAGTTGTTTAGGAGGATCGCAGATTGAGTGTGGAAAACATCGCCTCCAAAGTTGGCTTTTCCATGGGATCTGTGCACACAATCCTGCATGAAGACCTGTGAATGCCGAAAGTGTCCTCCAGGTGGGTGCCACGAATGCTGGCCGACGACCACAAGGCTGTGCACATGGCAATTTGCCAGGCGATGTTGACATATGATGAAGGCATGAATAGGACTTTCTTTTCATCAATTGTGACAATGGATGAGACATGGATGCCGTTTTTCAATCCTGAAACGAAGCACCAGTCAGCTCAATGGAAGCACACAGACTCACCGCCACCAAAAAAAATTTGGGTAAGTGCCAGTGCTGAAAAAATTATGGTGGCCATGTTTTGGGACACCGATGGTGTAATCCTTACTCATTGCGTTCCAAAGGGCACTATGGTGACAGGTGCATCCTACCAAGATGTTTTGAAGAACAAGCTCCTTCCAGCACTGCGAGAAAAACGGCCGAAAAAGGCTGCACATGTGCTCTTTCACCAGGACAATGCACCAGCACATTGGGTGTACACGACGCAGCAGTTTCTTCGTGAAAACAACCTTGAAGTGGTTTCTCATCTGACCTGCCTCCTAGCGATTTTTGGCTTTTCCCAACGATGAAAGACACTCCGTGGTCGCACATTCACCAGTCGTGCCGCTATTGCATCAGCGATTTTCCAGTGGTCAAAACAGACTCCTACAGAAGCGTTCGCAGTGGCCATGGAATCATGGCGTCGACGGTGTGAAAAATGTGTACAGCTGCAGGGAGATTACGTTGAAAAGTGACAGAAGTTTCAAATTTTTTGTATGATTATTGTGAGAAAAAAATCGGAGACCTTAGAACTTGAACGCACTACGTACACATGAAGGAACTTGAGAATCGCCAAATTAATTTTAATGAAGTCTGCTGTGGAGTATTAACATTCCTTGACACATTCTAATTTTGGTTAATATGAGACAAAAGTAATTTACTCCTTACATGAAGACATGTATATGTTTCTGCTTATATCTTGAGCAGAACTCCTTAAATGTTCACTGATACAAAACAAAATGTTACAAACAATTGTTGTAGGGGAAAAAATGAAACAAAATTATGCCCAGTACATATTTTTGCATAAGTTTACAATTTTTATATAATTAAACAAGAGTTTTTATACTGTATATATTTCCTACTTTTTATATTCTACAGTCAGTAGTAGTCTTCCAAACACATGCAGAAGTTATCAAAATCTCTTATTGTTGATAACATTTAAATGTAGCATACTTCCGCTTAAATCTGTAGGTGTACATGTGCATAAATATGTTGTTATGCTTATCTTGTTTCAGAACAGTTACTTTTGCGCTACTAGTAGCCACTTATAATCTTGATATCAGTTTATCTTGCCCACCACTGCGTCACTGCACCATCATTGCTCTGTCATGTTGCACCCACCACTGGCATTTCACAGCTTGTCTATTTCTTTTGGATGTCCTTTTAACTCAGCAGCTTACTCAGTTGCTCCACTCAAGAACTCCACAACACATTTGTTGTGGAGAAGATATTTAATTTTGGAAACTTTTCATGGGTGCCCTGTTGCCTTTAGCCATCATCACAGGAATGGTACCTCACAAAGAATCTAGAAACCAACAGGTGGCATTGAAGTCAAGAAGTTTAGAGCAAGAGAGGCTCACACACATACTCTGTTCCTGAGCTTGGGTCATGTGACATTGCTCCCTCCTCAATTTGCTCATCCCAAGTAACAACTAAATGTGGAGCCAGTCTGTTTAGGGGTGCCACCATCATCTTTGCCCTGAGATGATGCGTAGTCCTGTAGATTACATCATTGATCCATGTGACCACCTTGTAAGAGTCTTCCGAAGATGGCTGCAGCTTAGGCAACTTTCCTCTGGTCCAGGTTGGGCAGTATGACCAGACGTAGCCTCATTGTGAGAACCCAGCTGTATTGGCTAGATGCTTGTCAAACATGCACCCTGTAACTGGTCTTGGCAATCCTCAAGGGCAGTGTCCTGCAATTGTGCTGATGCATCAGGTTTTAGGTTCAGAGGCCTTGGCATACTGCACATGTGTCACACTGTTGGCACCATCTGTCAGTTCACTTCTCATGTGTATCCAGTAGTACCACTGCCTAACCTTTTCCAGGGTTTTGTTGTCACGCAGATACCCTGAAGATCTTCCATGGAGCTCTTTCAGCACTTCCTTCATCTTGCTCTATGGCAGAACTGTTTGGTGTATCACAGACTGTCAGATGTCTTCCATTTGCATTCCAGCATGACATCTCACCACCAGGGAGTTCTGCTGAGCTGGGTAACTTTTATAGGTGGCACTGCTGTAGGCTATGTCTTTCCACTTGTGATGCTGTCCAGTCTCCACTTCCCACAGGATTCAGAAGCCGTTGGGGAGTGTTGAAGCTAAGAAGTGTCGAGGAGAGGTGCATGCATATGATTACTTCCCAAGCTCGGGTCACGTGACTCCATGTTGCATTAAAATATAATTTTACATAAAAGTATATAAATACTTTCATCAGCTTACCTGAATAAATGTTTCAAATTTTAGTTTCTTGCTGTAAATACTTGAGCGTGGATGGAAGGTAAAGGTAAAGTTGTCCCTGTACCTAACCGTTCAGCGTGGTTTGACGTGTATGTTTCGTCAGGTATTTAAATCGTCTGGGGGGGTTCGACGTGTATGTTTCGTCCAGCTGCACACCTATGTTATAACGCCCATAATAATTGATGGTTTTGCTGTAGATTGTTAGATTTTTCGCTGGCCTGTTGTCAGGAGAACTGTATTTAATGACACACGAGTTTAAGAGCGCTAAGTCGTCGTTACATATGCCTGTCTTGCAGCAAAGTTCCTGTGGCTAT